CCTCTGAATTTTGAAAAGGTAAGTCTATTGGCTTTTAAAAAGTACGAAACCAGGACGGAAACTGTTTTCAAAAATAATTTTCTTAAAGTTTAAACAAATTGGATCATCTCGAAACTTTTGAAAATAGAATGTGTTAGAGCACGAAAACATTTTTACCTCTGAAAATGTTCTGGGAGTAAGGCCAGAACTTTTGTTTTGCAAATCTTGGGATCATGCATTGATCTCCCATTCTCCATATTATGTGACCACATAGAATGAGACTAGCCCTTCAAATATATCGATTCCTAGTTTAAATTAAGTTTTCTGCCCTGAATGTGATTTTTGAATTGTATATTTTATAACTTGGCACAGAAAGACAAAGGTTGACACTTCAAGACACTTCAAATAAAATTTTACGCAGGGCCAAATAGAATGAGACTTCAGAGACGACTGTACAGATTTTAAAATGCATTCATTCATTTCTCATGCAAAGTCTTGCTTGTTTTGTTTATTACAAATTATTAATCATTCAATTACTCCACATTTAGATTTTTATATTAAAAGCGTTTCAGGTCGTCAGTAAAGTCGCTCTTTATGATTAACACTGTTCAATATATAATAAGTATCATGCAGACATTATATATAACTTTAGCACCAATGTAATTGGTAACTCTATAACTCTATATTGGTTAGGATTCTATGCTAGATCAAACAATACGCTGGGTGCAATTTAGTTTATTGGCAATATGATAGTGAATAAACAAACTAAAAGATACCCTCCGCCCTCCTAACTTAATCAAGATTGGTTTGGGATTAATCAGTGCTCCAGTGTTGGCAAGAAATAAGAATTGGTAACAAGATATTCTTTTATATTTCAGATCCAGAAAATAGGAGAATTAATCCACTGAACACGCAAATTAAAAAAAGTTTACTTCCATTATTACGTACGAACCGTGCAGTGAGTATTTGGAACCGGTTCATATTCAAATATATTTTTAGCGTAGTGTAGATTTTCAACAAAAAAAAGATAAAAATTGCCAAATAAAGCAATCTTTATAAAAATCAAAATAAATCCGGTTTAATTGGCAAAAAAAGTATTTTCGATAAGTAATAAAATTTTGACAATAATTAACTACTGTTTTAAAATGTTTTGTGTTTTTATAAATTTTTGCGACAGTTTCCTGTAAAATATAAAAAATCAAAAATTTGAATGAACTGCTTTCAACTTTTTCGTCCTAAGTTTCTGATTTAAAGTTTCCGTTTCAAGGTTGAGTTTTTTGTTTTTTTGTTTAACGTTTCATTGGCGGTTTCAGGGGGGGATTACATTACTCCCCCCATGGTTGAAATTAGGGGGAGGTGTACCCCCCTGAATGTTTACATAGTCATTTCTCGTCTAAACTGTTATTCATTTATGTATGTAAATAAATAATAAAGTTTACTTGAAAGTGTAATTATAAAAAAAATATATATTAAGGGTGAAAGATTTTTCACAAAGAGAGGCATCATTTTAAGATGTAAATACTATGTATTTTTAATTCTAAGAAACATTTACAAATGGCATTTTTCGCAAAGATCAAAATTGACAATCGCAAATGGCCTTTTGTGGTAAAAAAAAGCTAGTAAGAGCAAGGATGTAATGCAAGGAAAGTTATTTCAGAAGTGTACCCATCTTTTGTTCTGCAGTGTAGTGTCTCTGGGCGGTAATGTAAACACAAGACGGATGTTACAGCCTGACATGGGATCCATCTTTCACATAAAAAAAAGCAATGAAATATTCTCTATTACATCCTTGAGTATTTTTTTTCTTAAAATAATTCTGTATGGGCATCAACACATTTTACAAAATCAACAAATTTTACATAATAATGAATAATAGCCAAATTGGAGCTGTAAAACTTGGGAATTTTGTGATTTCCCTAATTTTTTCCCACTTTTTTACAAACTGTTTGTTGTGTAAATTAGGTAACCGCCAAAAAAGTCCTTGGAAAAAATGTCCTAAAATTTTACACTAAAAAAGTCCTGTGGAAAAAAGAATAGCGATGCACCCAAAGAAGCAAGTCAATTTCGGACATCAGTGTTTGAAATGCCTTTATTTTAAGCGGCCCAAGAAAACTAAATTATTGTAGATTGGAATAAAGGTGGATATTTTTAATTTTTTTATTTTGAACAAAAATTCCTTTATTTACTGTCAGCCTTCTTTTGGTTAGTTTTAACTCTAAAAATAAACATAAAAAATAATTGCAGTCTCCTGCAAAAAATAAGTTATGGTTTAAGAATAATAGCAGGAAATAAAAAATAATTCTTACTTTATTAGAATCATCTTGTTTAGATAAATAAATGGATTATCTTTTTTTCAAAATCAGCCAACATTTGGTCAATAATGCAAAACAAGAAAAAGAAAAATGGAGATTTTAAGAAAAATAGAGTTTTTAAAAAACCAGAAGCTGCTATCAAATGATTATTTATACAATTTTGTAATAAAATTTTTTAAAACCAATATAAAAAAATGTATTATTATGACATTTGCCAACCCTCTGTACTATAAAGAAACTGTAATTTTTGTAGGGTTAGGATGGTAAATATAGAACTTTTTAGAAAAAAAGGATTGAAGGGAGGGAGGGAATTGTCTTTTTTTAAGATTACAAGTGGGGTTGTAATAATGGGGGGGGTAAATTTTTTTTTTACCCCCCCCCCCCCCTTTATATCCTAAAACCGTCCTTGTAAAGTTTACCCGGCTGATTAATTGTTAATTAAGCCCCCCCCCCTGTCCTGACTTGCATATTTCATTTGTTTGTGATTGATAAGATAATTTAATATCAATATCATAAATATATACAGGGTGTCTCAAAAAACGGAGAATAAGGGTCTACAGACTCGTTTGTAATTCGGATTTTCAAGATTAAGACCATTTTTACAATCTATTTACAATTTCCGATTCAATGAGCCCAATTTTAGGCTTGTAGATCTAAAAATACAATTTTAATATTAGTAATTTGGTAAAAATAAAGATAATCTCCGTTTGCACATACGGGACTTCTGTGTAATTTGATTTTCAAGATTGAAACCATTTTTTATATCTACGTACAGTTTCCGAGTCAATGAGCCGAATGTTTGGCTTGTAAACCTAAAAATAACAATTGTACTGTAATAGACTGTAACCTAACATTGAATATAAAATTGTGCAAATGAAGATTATCTTTTATTTTAACTTCGCTTCAGTTGGAAACTTTAGGAGCCTATAGAATTGATATTTTTAGATCAACAAACCAAAAATTGAATTCATTGCATCGGAGATTTAAAAAATGGTCTCAATCTTGAAAATCCGATAACAAGCAAGTCTCTAAACCATTATACAAAATTGTGTAAACCGAGATTATCTTATTTTTACCAAATAACTCACTCCAGTTGGAAACTTTCGGAGCATATAAAAGTGTTATTTTTAGATACAAGCCTAAAATTGCGCTCATTGAATCGGAAATTGTAAATAGATTGTAAAAATGGTCTCAATCTTGAAAATCCGAATTACAAACGAGTCTGTAGACCCTACTCCGTTTTTTTGAGACACCCTGTATATAAATATAAAAAGATATATATATACATAAATAAATATATATGCATACTACAAATATTGTTATGTTTTCTCTATTATTACAGATATCAAATTGATGTTGATTGCCTAATTGTAAAACTAATATAAATATCTATATCTATATATTTTAGCTTGTCTGGGTGTCTGTTAGGGTGTTTGTCTGTCTGTTTGTATCCAATAACGTCCAAACGGCTGAACCGATCAGGCCCAAATTTTGTGTGGGACCTCACGTGGCCCCATGGAAGGTTAATGGCCAATCAGACTTTAAATATGTGATCTTAAAATATTCTTATTTTAAATTATTTAATTATGTAAAATTTTGTGTGGGAACTCACATGAACCCATGAGGGCTCAGAATTATAAAAAAGTTTTCTCCAAAATTTTTTGATTTTGATTTTAAAAGTCCACGAAAAAAATTGTAAACTTGCAAAAAACAATATAAAATTTTCTAAACTTGTTTTATAAGTTTTAAAAATAATTATCATTATTATAAAACTTATATTTTTAATTCTACATTATCTTACGATAAAGTTTATCTTTAAAGGGAGTGACCGGCTATGTAAGGTAGTTGAACTGAGGACACAGTGTTGTGGAAAACTTCTTTCGGATTCATTTAAGACATATTTCACTTTTTAAAGATCTGTAAATCCTGAGTTTGGGCGCAAATTCGACGTTCAAAACTCCTGATTTGGGGGGTGGATACGCTTTCAGAATTAGTTTTTTTTAATTATTAATTAACGACGACATAAAATGTAAAAATATTCTACAATATTCATTTTGAGAAAATAAAAATTAATCTTATCATCTAAAATAAGTAATCTTGTTCAATTATTAGTTTCTATCATCTCATCATTCTAGTTTCTCGTTATTCACAAAAATGTTCGCAGATTTTCTATAACTATTATTGAAAAGACGACATTTAAAGAATTTGAAGAAATCTGCGAATAAATTCAAAGAAAATTAGAAATTCAATATAATAATGAAAACGAAATAATCGATTTTAGCATTGATTTATTGACAAATTTCTTTTCTGAAATATGTTTCTAGCCGTCTAAGTAGATTACTGTATAATTTTTGCTTTATTTTTCGTTGTCGTTATTTAATAATTTAAAAAAAAACTAATTCTGAAAGCGTATCCACCCCCAAATCAGGAGTTTTAAACGTCGAATTAGCGCTCAAACTCAGGATTTACAGATCTTTAAAAAGTGAAATATGTCTCAAATGAAACCTAAAGAAGTTTTCGACAACACTGCATACTCAGTTCAATTACCTTACATAGCCGGTCACTCCCTTTGAAATCTATTTAAAATTTCTGATTTAGAATAACAAATTTTGTTTGTAAATATTCTTAGTTGTTGATTCTTTCAAAACAACCAAAAAGCATGATTTCATATTTATAGTTTTAATGGCAAAAAAATGCTTTTCTTATTTCAGAATAAAAAATGGCGGTAGAGGGGGAGGTGTGTTGTAAAGATTTGGTTTGGGTTTGCAGGTACAGGCATCGTCGCATATATCAATATAATGAGGACAACTTTCGATTTCAATTTTGATTTTATCAAGCCCTTAAACAGCATAGATAAACATAAACATGAAAACGAAGGGAATCTCTTTGTAAAAAAGCTGCTTTTTAATATTTGTTAATTATTTTAAACCTTTTAGCCATAATATAATATTTGTAGATTAATTTAACTCTTAAGCTTTAACACAATATTTGTTTATTAATTTAACCCTTTAAGCCCTAACACAATAATTGTTAATTATTTTTAACCTTTCAGCCCTAACGTAATATTTGTTATCTAATTAATTTAAAACTTTCTGCCTTAACATAATATTTGTTAAAAATTTAACCCTTTCAGCCCTGACATAATATATTTAGTTAATTTCACCCTTTTAGTCCTAACATAATACGTGTTAATTAATTTAGCCCTTTTAGCACTAACATAATATGCGTTAATTGATTAAACCCTTTTAGCCCAAACATAATATGCGTTAATTGATTTAACCCTTTTAGCCCAAATATAATATGTTTTAATTTATTTAACCCTTTTATCCCAAACATAATATGTTTTAATTTATTTAACCCTTTTAGCCCTAACATAATATGTGTTAATTGATTTAACCCTTTTAGCCCCAACATAATATGTGTTAATTGATTTAACCCTTTTAGCCCTATCATAATATGCGTCAAGGGATTTAATCCTTTTAGCACTAACATTATATGTGTTAATTGATTTAACCCTTTTAGCCCTAACATAATATGTTTTAATTGATTTGACCCTTTTAGCCCTAACATAATATGGGATAATTGATTTAACCCTTTTAACCCTGACACAATATTTCTAGTTAATTTAACCCTCTTAGCCCTAACACAATGTTTGTTCATTGATTAGACCATTTTAGCCCAAACATAATATGTTTTAATTGATTTGACCCTTTTAGCTTTAATTAAATATATGTGCTAATTAATTTAACCCTTTTAGCCCTAACATGATATGTGTTAATTAATTTAACCCATTAAGCTCTAACTCAATATTTTTTAATTAATTTAACCCTTTTAGCTTCTACATTCCTGCAAACCTTTAGTTTCTGACATGCTGATTTCCAACATCAAAAGCTCAAAATTATTACATATATCATTTTGCGCCAACGACCACACATCATTAAACATCAACTTTTGTACGTTACTGCCCTAAAGGGTAACAACCAGTAAAAATCTTGAAAATTTGTTAATTTTTACTTAAAGAATTTTACTGGAAAAAACTTTTGGAACTTAACAATTTTGACGTAACAAATGTCAAAAAAAAAAAAAATGTTGAACTAACAGTTTTCAAAAATCAAGAACAAGATTAGTTCTATAACTATGTACTTATGTGTGAGATTGGCTGCCGGGCAAGAAGATCCCATGAATAGTGACTAAAGAGTAAAAAACGTTTCTTTCACAAAAATGATAACATTTTAAGAATATAAAATGACAGGCCTTACCAACCCTATACAATTTTCTATCTGTGGTATTGTATATGAAGATTTTAAGTTGCTTTGTTCTCGTTTATCACAAAGGTCCGAAGGAATATCAATTTCCAGGTTAACAATTGGGTGGGTTATTTAGTGAATTTACGTTTGTATTCCTTCATCAAGATTTTTAATTAGAAATACAAATTGAAATATTTAAAACAACTATGTTACATCCAAGAAGAAATTTTTCAATTCCAAAATAATCATGTTTTTGTTTTTGGTCAGGTTTCCAGAACATTCTCATCTTCCTCCACATATTCACATTCCACAACTTCTTTTCAAACATATCAAACATTCATACGCGTCCCTAGCAGGTAATCAAACATTCATTCGCCTCCCTAGTAGGTAATCAAACATGCATTTGCGTCCCTAGCAGGAAATCAAACATTCATACACGTCCCTAGAAGGTAATTAAACATTCATTTGTGTCCCAGAGTAGGTAATCAAACATTCATTCGCGTCCCTAGAGGTAATCAAACATTCATAACCTTCCCTAATAGGTAATCAAACATTCATTTGTGTCCCTAGTAGGTAATCAAACATTTATTCGCGTCCCTAGAGGTAATCAAACATTCATACACGTCCCTAGTAGGTATAATCAACCATTCATTCGCGTCCCTAGCAGGAAATCAAACATTCAACGCGTCCCTAGAAGTTAATCCAACATTCATTTGTGTCCCTAGTAGGTAATCAAACATTCATAGGCTTCCCTAGTAGGTAATCAAACATTCATATGCGTCCCTAGCAGGTATAATCAAACATTCATTCGCCTCCCTAGTAGGTAATCAAACATGCATTAGCGTCCCTTGCAGGTAATCAAACATTCATACGCGTCCCTAGTAGGTAATCAACCATTCATTCGCGTCCCTAACAGGAAATCAAACATTCATACGCGTCCCTAGAAGTTAATCAAACATTCATACGCGTCCCTAGAGGTAATCAAACATTCATACACGTCCCTAGTAGGTATAATCAACCATTCATTCGCGTCCCTAGCAGGAAATCAAACATTCATTTGTGTCCCTAGTAGATAATCAAACATTCATTCCCGTCCCTAGAGGTAATCAAACATTCATACGCTTCCCTAGTAGGTAATCAAACATGCATTCGCGTCCCATAGTAGGTAATCAAACACTGATATGCATTCCTAGCAGGTAATCAAACATACATTCGCGTCCTTAGCAGGTAAAAAAACTTTCATACGCGTCCTTAACAGGTGATCAAACATAAATACGCGTCCCTAACAGGTAATAAAAAATAAATTCGCGTCCTTAGCAAGTAATCAAACATTCACACGCGTATAACTCGTATAACCTAGCAGCTGAACAAACAGTTAATTGCGTCCTTAGCAGCTGATTAAACATTCAAACACATCCCTAGCAGGTAACCAAACATGCAGACACGTCCCTATTGATAAAGGGAAGAGGTTTAACAAAAATTCTAAATAATTTTTAAGTTTTCTAATTCTTTTGAGGAAAAGTTTTCAAGACTTTTTGAAACATAAAATGTTTTGTGAACAAAAAATACCGAATTGAAAGATTATGTCTATCTCCATATGAGCAAAAATACAGTAGAGAAAGATGCAGGGTGTCCCAAAAAACATGGGAATTCAGTGAAGAATTGGATATCGTCTTTGTTATGAATTAGCATTGTAATACCTAATTTCATGCAAAGCCATAATATTATTATGAAAACGGTAAATGGCTGCAAAGTTGTGTCTATAATGTCTTCGCAAGATGAACATTGAAGACGGGCAAGTTTACTCTGTTTGCATACTGCAATTTTCTTGTTTTACATAAGTACAACCGTATGTTGTCAAAACATCAACAAACAAAATGTAAACATAGCAGACGATACTCTTTCAGATTAGAGCTTTCTCGGTAGGTATCACTATAATAAATCAAAGAATTATTTAAAAAGATTTAAAAATAAACATGGGAATTCAGTGACGAATTCGATATCGTCTTTTTAAATAATTCTTTGATTGAAAAATAAGAGTTTGCGACAAGAACTCAGTTCCTTACCAAAAAAGTTGTTCAACTAAACAATGCAAAATATTTTCAGTTAAAAGGTTAAGGCACACTGTACAGCTCAGTTCATTGTAAGTACCTATAGGGCTGGGCACGTTTCAACTTTTTCTTACCGTTTTGTTAAGGATTAGTTCCACCCGTTAAAAGAGAAAACGGTAACGGTTTTTTAGGTTTATTTTTAAGTTACTGTTATTTAACGATCTCAATTTTATTAACAACATTAACAGAAGACATGCTGACATTAACGATTAGGTTTTGCAATTAACATCATTAGCCAATTGGAAATTGCGCGAAGGGCAAACAAATTTTCGCTAACGGTTTGTCAAATTTTTATGGGTGCAACAGTTAATTGTGAAAGTCGTTAACAGTTATTTGTAGTATTAATGGCGTTTGTTTGCCATACCTCTAAAATTTCCATAAAAAATCGTTAACGTTTTATCAAATTGAATTTAGGGCACAAACACTCAACAAATTGCAAAAAAATCTTTAAAATTTCCATCTTAGAAATAAGAGGGATGGGGGGGGGGCATTTAAAAACGCCAAAATACAAAAAAATGTTGTTTTGTCACTCTATTTTAGCAGAAAAAAAAGAACGAAAGTTGCTGTTTTTTAAAAACACATCCTTTCGTTTTCGTTCTTAATCGTTAATTACTTTCTCAAAAACAGATAATCCGTTCCGTTAACTATTTAAAAGTTGACGGCTTTTGCTGTCGTTAACGGACACTTCTGTTAGTTTTCGGAAACCTACGGTTCGTTATCGGAACTTTGCCCAGCCCTATATGTACCGGGCCGAATTTCAACTAACCTGAGCAAGCTTTGCAGTACAAATACAGACTAAATGAGTTAAAACGGGTCAGTTCACCAAATGAATGATCCCCTTTTAGTGAAATCAATGTCGGCATTCAATTTTCATTTTTTTAAATAGAATTTTATTATTTTCAGATAATGAAGTTTTGAACACATCGTCTGGGTATTCTCCAACCAACGGTAATTGGTAAGTTTTTTTAGCAATTTTTTTTAGTTTTAAACAAAATGTTAAAGAAGGGATACTTGAAAATACGTCGCCAGTTCCTTTTATATTGTTTGTTTACTATAAAACTAGTTTCTATATGCTGTCCATACGTCAGAGCTAGAATGTAAACAACCCTCCTATCCCCCTCTTATTGGTTCTAATCTCGTTGAAACATTATACATACACATTTATTTCATCAAACTTTGTTCACTGTACACTTTGTGAGTTAGGTTTGCGGATTTTCATTATGTTAGTTTCATCCAACTTTAGATTAAACAACAAGGAAACATCCTACCAGCCAAAAGTCAGCTATACTAATAAATCAGCAACAAAGAAAAGAGGCAACCCCCGGTTTTCAAGCAATACATTTAAAGTAATTATCTCTGTTTGTCTGTTTGTATGTCTAATCATAACTCGCGATCCCCTATTCAGAGTTAACTGGGTTCTCAGGCTATAAGTGTTATTTTATAGCAAATATTGTGTAAACATGATATTCTGTAAACCTGCAGTACGTTGTACATTATTAACAATCTATGTTGTGACCTATGCATCATGACATTATTCATACGTATGCATGATTAGATTAAATCATGAGACATACTTAAATTACGATATAAACATAACGTACATTAAACTTTAACTGTGCAGTAAATACGTAATATGATTGTCTTAATCATGTGATATTGCATATATATATATATCAATACAAAATGTATTCCAATTAGCGATGGGCAATAGCTAGATTCGTTTTACCGACACTTTTAATATTTTTAGAATTTTAAAGGGTTTTACGACAATATGATAAGGGTCCAACGATTTTGTATTCTGTTTTTTTTGGGAAAGGCAAAATGACCCAAAAACGATCGTTTTAAAAACTTGAAAAAGATCGTTTTTGCCTTATATTTTCTTCTAGGATCACAAATTTGCATGTTTGATAAAAGCAAACTTTTACAGAATAAAGTTTTAAAATGTTGGAACCTTCTCATATTTTTGTAAACCTTTTAAAGGTCTTAAAACAATACAAGTTTCTGTAAAACAAATCTGGCCCATAGCTAATTTCAATACAATATCCCGGGTACTGAAATGCTACATAACAAAGAGGGGTAGGTTTTTATAAAAATGATTCATTAGATCCTAAAGTTGAATTATATCATCATTTTTGTAACTGAAACTTTATTGATATATATGTTGACCACTGAAATTTATTGTTTTAGGGCAGTAAACCCTTATACAGGGAAGTGGGAGCTGGTTTTACATAAGGTAATTAAATTATATATTTATTTTAACATTCTTAATTTAAACTTCTTGCAAAGCAAGGAACTATATACAGGAACGCCCAACTCAGATATGCGCATATTGTGTACTGTACACTCTGGGAGGAATGTAAACAAACCCAGTGCCCCCATAGCAGTTGAAGGGAAAGGATTAAACTCTGATAAACAGAGTGATCTTTAAGTCCAACAAAACAAACTAGTTAATATATCAAGTTAGTGCGGATACAACAAGTTATTGATGAAGGTATCCAACTTTTTTATAAATCCATTTCTTACTTTTCAGAAAACTTTTTCTTTCTCATAATAATGATACATAATGCATATATATATATATTTATATATTATGTTTCATGAAAAGGAATGTTTTCATTGGCGGGTTTCTAAGATTTTTAAAAGATAGAATTTTTTTTGAAGGATATCAATAAATAAAGGAACCAAGAGACAAGCCAAATGTATATAAAGATATATATGAATAATTGGTTTGTATATTTAGTTTATATATGTATTTATGTGTTTAGTATAGATATAGATATATCTATATATATTCAGTTGGATATATGGATATATTTAGTATGGATTTATGGATATATATATTTATTATGGATATATGGATTTATATATTTAGAATGGATGTGAAATATATATATTTAGTATGGATACATGAATTTATGTATATATATATATATATATATATTTATTATGGATATATGAATATATATATTTAGTATGGATATGTATATATATATATATATATTTGGTATGAATATATGTATATATATATATATATTTTGTTTAAGTATATGGCTATATATTTAGTATGGATATATGGATATATATATTTAGTATGGATATATGCATATATGTATTTAGTATGGATACATGGATGAAATAATTCTCTCCTTCCTTGTTCTTCTCCTGGTTCTCTTCTCTTTCTACCGTCTATGGTTGGTCTGGGCATACAAACTAAACTTTAGAGAGGTAAACTCTAGAGATGGGCACCATACAAACTAAACTTTAGAGAGGTAAACTCTAGAGATGGGCATCATACAAACTAAACTTTAGAGAGGTAAACTCTAGAGATGGGCATCATACAAACTAAACTTTAGAGAGGTAAACTCTAGAGATGGGCATTGTTTAATAGGTAAACTTTAGAGATATTTTAGTAAACTCAGTTCAATTAATGCCGATTTACGCATTTTTTAGTTAGGTTTTCTCATATATATCTATTGTTATATTTCAGTGCACAAACAAATAAAGTAAGTATTGATTTTTTAAAGGTTTCTATCTTCATGCACCCTTTATTTGGTTGAATTCTTTTCTAAAATGTTTTAATGTTTTACTGTATCCATCCTAAAACTTAAGTTGGTCACATTGATTAAATACTGAAAAAGAATTTAAAACTTTGTGATGGTGATGGACCAAACCTCTGTTTAGCAACAAAAAAAAGTAGATGTTAGTTCCACATTTATTGAAAACATATTTCGGTCTGGGTTGAGACTCGTCAGTTTTTGAGATTGTTTCTGTCAGAAAGATTAAAAACAAAGAACGATAAAGACATCTCGGTGAGTTAAAAGGTTGTGGATCAAAATAAAACAAAATGCAATTGAATTCAAATAGCAAAACCGAACACACATCTTGGCATGGTTAGTCCAAGGTGTGGAGTGTTCGAAAGGTATCGATAAAACACTTTGTAAAGATAAATAAATGAATAATTAGTATTAAGAAAATTAATTAATAGTTTCTCTAGGGTATATATAAATAATTTACTTCGTTCTCTACAGTATAATTCTGTCTGCATTGATAACATAATTATGATGTATGGGATCTATATAGAGTCTAAATAAAAGAATATATCCACGACTTTTAAACCTGAATATTAGTTGAAAGATGGAATCATGCCAACATGTTAGGAAAATTAACGAACCATTAAAACGTATAGTTTATTGTTATCGATAGAATATTGATAATATATCTTTAAATGTTGTTATTTAATAGCTTTTTTGATTATTTGAAGAAATAATAAATAAAAGATTACAGAAAGTCATGAATAAAGGAAACATACATTATAAATTCCGCACAGTCGTCTCTGAAGTATCATCCTGTGTGGGTTACCCTGTACCTAAACAGCAACAAACAAACAAAAAATCAAGTTATCGTAAAGAAAAATCGTCAACAGTTTGAAATAATTTTAAGATTTACTTTATTCTACAGCATATAATTGGTCATCTTTTTTCTGTGTTTTAAACAATAATAAAAAAGACTTTGAATGGTAAAAACTTTATTCTTGAGTGTTTAGGAACGTAATATTATGAAGCCTTAGTTTGAAACTTTTATTTTAAAAGACTGAAAGAATAACAGATGAAACTGAAACAAAAAATCAAATATTAATAACTTCCAATCCTACAACTCTATTGTTGTGCAGTTAAAAATATGATTGTCATCTGTGAATTTACAGCGTTCCTTTCTTATTAAGAATAACCTAAGCTTTACCCTCCCCCCTCTCTTCTTTCTTCCCCTCCCATTCCCTTCCCTCCCTTCTCTATCTCTCTCCATAACCCTTCCTACCCTCCCTTCCATCTAGTATATACCTTCCCCTTCCCTCCCTTCCATGTATACCCTCTATTTCCCTCTCCTTCCTCCCATCCCTCCATTCCCTCCTCATATATAATGCAGGCCAGTTCTCAATTCAATAAAGATGAACTTGAAGTTTCCAAACTCATTTCATTATTTGTATAAATAGTTTATATTCACTTCAATCAATCATTCATTCAACAATTCGGAGCAGTATACCAGTGTACATTGCACAATGCACGCGCAGTGTAAATTTCTGTACATGAAAAGAAATAGAAAATTACAAGTATAGGCTTAAAAAAATAATTCTCAATTTAAAAATGATGAATAAACGACCTGTAAATACTTGAAACCGGTTTCTTATAATGTAAATTTTAATCTCTGTGAAAAAACTGTCATCTTAGCTTTGCTGACAAGAAACTAAGAATATGAAAGAGTTGAAATTTTGTTGTCAATGTCAGCAAAAGCTTACAATAATGTATTTTTGGTTTGAAAAATTTTCAGTCACTATAGTAATGTTCACGGTGTCTCGATAAACATGAGTAACAAGGTTGTTTTTAATTTTCAATGGCGTATAGGCAGTTCAAGTCTTTAATATGAATTTAATACAACGTTATATTACATTTATTTGGAAATAATAAAACAAAGTTAAATTTAAAGTTTCATTTGGCCAAAAGTTACAAATCAATACATATTACCTCCCTAATCAAAGAATCTAGTCATTGCTTACTTATTCTAAATATTATAGTTGCAACATAAAATTATGAAAAGAAAATATCAATTTGAAGATTTCTTCTCATTTTTGATTCATGGGGTATCCTACTAAGATTCAAGTTCAGTTCAAGTTTTAACATCTTTATTTCAGGCTACAGCCGGACCCCAGGGCTGGGACTTGCTGGTCAACTGGGTGGTTCAGCGAGTACAAATCAGAAAAAAGGAAAATTTTCATAAATTTTAAATCCGTCAGTTCAACTTCCCTTTTCATTTGTATTCAAATCCTTAGAAATGGGATTTTGACTCGGCATATTCTCAAAAATAGAAATACATCAAACTGTTGGAATTTGTATTGTTAATATTACACATCCCGAAAAATGCTTAGGCACAGATTTTTTTCTTTAATCTTGGGCTTAGGTGTTTCAACTCTCGTTCATCTAAGACTTCTTGTCTTGAATTGTCATGCTGATCTATAATACATCCCAGCGGATCCAAAGTCAATGACTAAAAGCCTCAGCTGTTTTCGTAGATTTAAATTTAATTTTCCAGAACCTTTAATTTTGACTTTGACTTTAACAATAACTTTGACAATTGAATTTTTGATTTTATCCCAGTTATTCAAATATTTGATTGGATGTATTTTAGCCGAAGTTTGATCTTGAGACTGGACAACCTAAAGTAAAAAGTGCTGAAGTTGAAATTGCTTCCAAACCACAGGAAAAGACGGGCAAAGTTTATTTGTTAGTTTTCAAAAATTCAAGGTTATAAGAGGTTCCACAAAAATCTATTTCTTTTGTCAAATTTTAAAGTTTGCTTTTTTAGACTAAAACAAAATACAAAACAATTTTTTACATATTATTATAGTTAATATTTCAGTGTTAAATTTTTTTTATTCTAGCAAAAGTCAGCTTTTGGGAACCCAGCTCTGCCGAAAATTTAATTTTTCCTTTAAAGTCAATCTATAACTCAACTGAGAATTATCAAACCAAGCTTAGAACTTTCCCGTGGTTCTACATATATATATTATTACAAGGTAGTAATCTCTGTTTGTTTGTATGTCCGAAATGGACTCATGATCCTGTTGACCAATTTCCCTACATCTTTGACTGAAGCACTGTAGAACCACAGGAATGTCCTTAGCTTTGATTTAAAATTGCAACCTGAGTGGGTTGAGTTTTAAGAGGAAGAGTATTTTTCAGGCAAAGCTGGGTTCCCGAGCTAGTTCTATAAATAGAATTGCAGCTCAATTTTCTTTAGGCGAACCCCTATTAATATAAAAATATTAAAAAAAACGTTGGCCCCCATGCTGTACACAGGATGAGATTGGAATATCCTCTTCTCCGACCTCTATCCCTCTTCTTAACAACATATCCCATCAGCAGAGCCTCAGTAACCTTCAAGCTGGTTCCCTGCACGAAGAACAGCTGACCTTGCGCCGCGTTCAAGAAATAAAGCGTGGCACTATTCCGTCCCCTTCGCAACCACTGCCGGTATTTAAATCTAAAACTCTTGAGATGGATAAATCGACTATTCTAGATCCATTAGTGAACACCTCAGCTACCAGTAATCCTATAGTACATAAACCGGATTTAACCAGCTTAAACCTGGACGCCATTGTGCATAGTATCAATACCTCAGTGATTCTTAATCCCGTAGTTAAAAAAATAGAAGAATCTGTGATAGATAATCCTGAAGAACGTTTAATAAAGTCTAATCCGCTTGGGGCACATGGTACAGACGTAAATCATGTCAATAACACTGAACATTCCCTTGATTTTGTGAACAGTCAGAGGACAGCAAATTTATATTTTGATAATTTTGATGAAGATCCTAATGTGATTTATATTTAGTGTTGTTATCCCGTTGACATGATTGAGTTAGCTCTTAGCAACCCAAGAATCAAATAAAACCTGCATCCTCTTTATACATAGTTCACAAAGTTGTAGTGAGCGCTAGGCAAAGTTTTCAGTCTTAACACATTTTCTTAATAAGAAAGCCTTTATTAAAAGAAAAGCCTATTTTTTCATCATGAGTTGGAGGCAAATATTGAATGGATTTCTATGGATTTTTTTATTAAAAAACAAGCTTTCTTCCACTGCAGGGAAAAATTTAGTAGATTGAATAAAAAATATTAAATGAACGCTTACAAGTTACAACTGATTTTTCTTAGATTTTTCTGTTGCTCTTTGTTAAACATTTTTAACCTTTTCAATTAAATTATTTCAATATTTTAGATTAAACTTTTGCACTTTAATGAATTATTTTGTTGTTCAAAGTAATGAAGGAAAAAGCTTGAAAGTATAAATGTGACTGATACAGGCTGCTGATCAAAGAGAATAGAATATATTTTATTCTCTTTGTCTAGGACGTCCAGCTCGTACTGATATGGCAATGATGGCATGGCATATTTGGTCCATAAATTAATTAAATAACAGATAGGACAATGGAAGTCGTTCTTTCAAGATTTTAATGAAACTCGTTCACAATTACCCTGATGCAGAAGTCCAGAGGAGGTTCGCCCAGTCGGCGATATATTACAAGACAGAGAGAGAGCCTGTTCTACACCGACTACGCGATATATTACAAGACAGAGAGAGCCTGTTCTACACCGACTACGCGATATATTACAAGACAGAGAGAGAGCCTGTTCTACACCGACTACCCGAAACTCCTCTCCGGACTTCTGCCTCAGGGTTATTGTGAACGAGTTCATCCAAATCTTGAAAAGACGGTATAGTGTCCTATATGTTATTTCAATCAATCTTTGATTTGGTCAGTATGTTTTATGACTCCTATCTAACGCCTCTTATTTCAACTATTACTTTTTCAGGGATTGAAATTTTACAATGTTAGACAGATAGATAGATAAAGTTTATTGCTAAAATACATGAACGAGTCTACAATTAAAACTGATTTTTTATAAACATTCAATTTTCACCAATGTTTACACTTTTGATGCTTATTTAAACTTTATTTTCTTTCAATCTAAATTAGTTATAAAAACATATTTGAGGTGGTAATTCTCTGGATATGAGTAATTTATTCCACTAATTACTTTCCTAGACTGTATATTTGTATATCAAAAAAATAAAAGTACTTAGTCAACACCTCTGGCATATTATTTGTAGTAATACCCCTAAATGAAAAGTTTTATTTAAAATATAACAATTACAGTTAAGGAAAATAATAATTACAAAAAATGTACAGGCCAAAGAGCTACCACCTCCTTTTCATTAATTTGTTGTCTACTTAATCCAATCAGGGTTCAGTCTTGTGTTTGTTGTCTATTCTGAACCAATAGAAATAGTATGGCGATATAACATCTATCTTTATATCTATCTCATTATCCAATCAGAGTTATGAATCCTTAAATCAGCGGCGCTATCAGTAAATGGAAATATTTACGAAATTATAGTGAACTGGGCTATTGTCTAGATTATAATTGCAGATTTAAATATTTTTGAAACAGGCTATTTTATTTTCTGAAAAAAAAGTTATAAACGTCAAAATCTCAACGAAAAAATACATATTAACAAATATACAAATATGTAATTCTAATTATCTACATTGAAAAAGGACAGATAAATAACGCTTTACTCCTACTGCAGCTTATATATATAAATTTAGCTTATCTGTCTGTTTGTTTGTATCCAATAAACGGCTGAACCGATCGGCCCCAAATTTTGTTTGGGACCTCAAGTGACCCCAAGGAAGGTTTGTGAATGATCAAAATTTTAAAAATTAGTGTTTAAAAGTTTTTTATTTTTATAAAATTTTGAAAATGCGCAAAAAAATATTATGAAATCCGCCAACTTTTTTATACTGTAAAAAGAGAAGATGCTCACAGATAAAGCGACAATTAAAAGTTGAAAAAGATGGGTGTGAAGCGCCCTAAAAGCCTAGTTATATAAAAATTGATAGACTTATAAAATTTCACAGGTGTATATATACGAATCTAACAATATATGCGCCAATTCACAAAACATGATAGTTGTTGTGAAATACTTGAATAATAAAATACAATAAAAGCACAAGTTTTTTTTACAAAAACTATTATGTTTTGTGAATTGGTGCTTTTACACCTGTGAATTGCTGTAAAATTTTCTATTTTATATAAAGCTGTAGAGTTATGCACAAGTTAAGGAATTTGTGAAAGTTAGAAAAAACAAAAAGGAAGTCTTAAAGCTTCTTTTAAATTAATCTCATGTTGACTTTTTAAGACAAATTATATTGACGTAACATTATCTGTCCTTTTTCAATGTAGATGATTAAAATTATATATGTATTTTAATGTTTTTTTTTTCAGAATATATAAATGATTATTTCTTGTAATTATATCTGTAATCAAACAAGGTGCTTAACAAATTTTCTTTGGCGCTCTGCGCACACGAAAAGAATTGATTGACTCATATCGTTGATTTTACAGTTGCTGAAAGTATAAATTTTTAAAAACACAAGAAAAAAACCGATTTGAATTGAACACAGCCAAATCTGCATGCAACAACTGAAAATTTCCTTTTTTTCGACGTCAAACCCTTAAAAAAGCACTTTCATTTTAAAAAAAAATTTCTAAAGGGGGGGCAACCCCCCTACACCCCACCACAGACCATTACAAAAAATATTTTTCCAAAACCCCTAGCAAAAGTGCTAGTCGCGCCTCTGGAAATTAGAATATAAATTCAAAAACAATATTTTTTTCAAAGTTTTGAAAAGTAGCTTTTCTTAAGATTTAAAAAGTAACATCTTTTTCCTCAGATCTTTGTAGTTAATGTAAAATGAGTGACTATAATGAAGGATATAAATCAAGGCGAAAGCTGAAAGGTATAAGGAAATGAAGTCTTTATTTAGTGGAGTTTGTAAATGCAAATCAAACCCAACTAAAACCAATAATTTGATAAATATCATGATATTTTTCTAGGAAAGGGGGGGGGGAAATTCGGCGAGCCACATTAAAAAAATTTACCCCCCCCCCCCCTACAGAATCCTTATTTATGCCCCTGACCATATTTGCACCTTCAAAATTGATGGAAATTATAAGAAATCTGTCCAGATTGAAAATTTGTTAATAAAGAATACACTTCGAAAAATGATTCAGTGCGGAACTTAATCTGGTAATTTGGGCGGCTTAAGTCTTCCTCCCCCCGTACGACCCGTACATCCTTGAAATCATCTCTGGATTGTTCAGCAGATTGACCCATCCAACATCTCAGAACAAAACCCTTCAGCTTATAACTTAAAATTTTCCTTAAATATTTAACATTATAACTTTGTTTTACAGGATCTTATATTTTGATTTTAGTTTCAACAGTAACTCTGACATTAATACCTAAATTGGCCATCCTAGACTTTCTCGAGAAAAAATTAACGAAAAAAATTAACAATTTGATTCTGTTGAACATATTGACTTGTTCATGTTGTTTTTTTCTCACAAAAATGAAAACTATTAAAAATTATAAATAATTTCTAATCGCTAAAAAAAATTAGAAACTTCATAAAAAGTTGAATATTACGAAAAACTGTAATCTTTTGTAAAACTTTGAGAGGGCGGACTGGCCTCGTTTAAGAGTATGGTATAAAGGAGCACCGGCTCCAATACCTTTTTCTATCAGTTGATAAATTTCCAACTGAGAAAAATGCATGGGTCCGTTGCTCCATGAACACCGGACCCATGCCGGGGTGCCGATCAACCCTTTTGTCATTTTATCTCTTTCAAAAACATTAAAACAGAATTAAAAAAGTAACCAAAAATAAAAATCAGTCAAACTGAAACAGGATTGTTAATTTTATCGCCCTAAAGATTGTGAAAATGGTAAAATTGTTCAAAAAGTATAATTAGGTTCACATTTTTCACATTATTTAATTACAACAAAATCAATTAAATGAATGATATCACCGTCAATTTTAAAGATACTAAGAAAGCATCATAATCGTGAAGTCTTTCTTCTGATACGCTCTTAATCATTTATCGGAAATTGAAGATAATTTTAAAGTCGTCATTTAATTTCCATGTTTATTTGGACACCCTGTACCCTTTGTAGTTCTCTTTACTCTCCCATCAATAATTTTTGCAAACATATGACGTCTCCGACTGTGGCCGTCCGAAGTACGGTGAAACACATAGTAAAAGTAGATTATAGTATACTATAACCTCGTTGGCTGACAAGTGACACCTATAGGCTTCTGCAATTTATGTTAGTAAACTTTTCAGGTTGAGAAAATAAAAATTAACAATGGTTAGAGAGGCCTTGTATTGAAATTGTTTTTAATTAAATATTTAGTCAATTATATACAGCTATCCAAGCGCCACAGCTACATCATCCATTCAGTTTGTACTTTGGCTGTCGAAAATTCTCCAGAATGTTTGTTTATAAGTAGTTTAATACTGACTCCGTGTAACACGAAGAGTTTTCGTGCGCCGGAGAATCTCAAAAAACTGGTTTGTCAGTTTGTTTTTAAAACAGGCTTCCTGTCGGACCCACCTTCGTGGAATTGTTTTTAAAAATAGAATTCCGAATTCCGTATGTAAGAACACATAAGAGTTGTCTAGTGGTACACATAAATATTGGTGCACTTATAGTGTGTGTACTGTGTACTGTAGATATGCTAAATATTCACAATTATCACTGTTGTCTCCTTCCAATTTCAATCCTCGGCATTTCCACGGATTTCTTCTTCTGCAGATTAGAGGTTTTATTGAAATTCCTGGCAGTTCGCCATGTCGTAGAGGATTTGCGACACAGTTCTTGAGGATTCTACGTTGGACAGAGCGACAGTCGACAGGTGGGATTCATAGGCACGCAGTCGCCTGAAATAAGGATTATATGATGTTTCAATTGTTTTACAAAAAAGCAATAAGGGATGCATATTTTTAAGAAGTTCTGAAAAATGTCTATCATATATATATATATAATGCATATGTATAAAAAATGAGAAATTATGCATCAAAAGGCAAGTGTTTCATCCTTCTTTCTACTTCTTACAACAAATTTATTAAGTTCCCCTAAATTCTTTTTTTTTCCAATTCAGCGAATAAAACCCTATGGCAAACATTCCTAACTTCTTAGGGAAAAAAATGATTCTCAAAAGAGGGGGAAAATAAAAATTATTTTTCCAAAAAAAACACACCCCTGAAAAGCAATGTTTAAATGTCTGAGCTACAAATAAAAACTTACGATCTGCCGATTTGAGAATATATGACTAGATTCCTCAGGATAAGGGAGGCAGTGAGACGGATTGATTTAGTTACAGGGCCTTCCTTCTCATCTCGCATCTAAACGGAGTGTTGATAGAGTTTTAATGGTGGAGTAATGCATGGTTCGTATGGTACAAATTTGATTTCAATCCGTGAAAAAATACAGTTTTCTGTAATTATTAGAAAGCAAGGATTTTATTAATTCAAAACTATTATCATCTAATCAAATACATGAATATTAATCACAAACTATTACTTGTAAAATATAATCTTTAACTTCTGCGTAAACTTATGCCATAATAATTATTATATTAACGAAGGTTGAAAGAAATATAGACTTCCTTTAAAAAAAATTATAATTTTAATGTGTACCTCATTTTCTTTCGGACTGATGAATTCCTGGGCATGTCGTTTAATTGCATGAAGGGCGGCGTTGGGGGCGTACCCTGGGTGTGGAGGCGGGGCAGGGGGGAGGGGAACATCAGATTTCCCGGATTGCATGATCTGTACTCGCCGAACCGCCATCAATTTCATCAACTAAAAGAACGGAGAATAAATGTATTAAAATCACGAAACCTCGCAATGTCTCTGCGAGACTGCAAGCTCAGAACCCCTCTCAACCATAGCGTATATATTATGACCGGTTTAAACGTACTTTTTAAACTGCGGTGCTCACCTCAGATGGTAACTATTAAGGCTAGATAGTTAAAGGGATTAAGACACAAAGGACTTAGCCGAGAATAATATTTAAGAATTATATCTAAGAATTTGTATTAAATCGTACCTGAGGATGACAATGTCTATCTTGAAGATGAGTCATCAGAGAAAACCGTTTCCTTCTCATTCCATCACAACGGGCCCAGAGACAGGGCATATCCTCATCCATACCCAGTGGACAGTGCTCCTGGATAGCGTGCCGTTCAACCTCCTTCGGAGTCTTAAACGATTTCATACAATTCAACCATTCGCAGAGGAAGGGGCGTCCTGGATCTATCTTGACGGGGGGAGGGGACGGACAAGGAACAGGACTGGAGGAGGGAGGAGTGGATTGTCCGTTGGTGAGAGGTGTTGGAGTGTTGCTTCTGAGTTGTGTTTGGTCAGAATGCTGTTGGTCGTTGGGTATAGAGGAAACTGTCTGAGGGTTGGTTGTTGATGCTGTAGAAGGGAGGTTGGAGGGATGGACAACTGCGTTGTTGGAGTTTCCAGAGGCAACAACAACCTGTCTAACTAATTGAGGTCCGTTACTGGTTTGTATCACTTGCTGCACTATCTGCTGTTGGGGCTGGGTGTATTGTTGTGCAAACTGTTGTTGTTGTTGCGGCTGAATGAATTGCTGTTGTTTCTCCTGGGGAATTATCAGCATAGCCTTTCCCTGCTGACCCTGCTGTACTATAACAGCCTGCTGTTGCTGTTGTTGTTGAACAATAACAGGTTGTTGCTGCTGTTGAAGCAGAACTGTTTGCGGTTGCTGATGAACGATGACCCCCGCTTGTTGTTGCCCTGTATGGGATACAATACCGCTGCCCTGAGTGGTTTTAAGGTAAAGCTGACCGCTGGAGGTCTGTATTAATTGTGGTTCTTGACCTCCTCCTGCTTGGGTGGTCAAAATAAGATGACCTGAACTACTCACAAGCACTTGGCCACTACTGGATTGAACTACTTGTCCTCCGCTCTGTATAAGCTGACCATTACCCGAGATCAGTTGGCTCTGAGCCCCACTGGTCGTTACGACCTGAACAACCTGACCTCCTGGTAGAACGGCCTTCATGTTACCGTTCATTTGACCATTGGTAAACCCATTGGTCAAAACGGTTTCAAGTGCAGGTTTTTTGGCGGGTAAATTGTGTGTAATGTCCTCGGCTAACCGTTTACCACTCTCTCCATTTATTTTAGTGTAATCAACATGATTAGATTTATCCTTGGACAGAACTCCGTTCATTGGTTCTCTTTTCTCCAGCAGTTCCTCGAGGGTTTCAGACACTTTACCAAAAGAAGGATCCTTCGGCAGAATTCCATCTAACGGTGAAACACCGTTCTCAATGATCTCCTCCGTAGGAAGTTGAATCACCTCAGGCTGAAAAAATAATAATAATAAAAAATTATAGGTGTCTGACAATATGAAAGGAATTGAGTCTTTGCCACAAACAGTGCTTAGGATCCAAGGGGCAAAATATCAACTATTAACTGCCAAAAAAAAATTCACTCTTAAAACCCAAATCTAAACTATTGAAAAAAAGAGAGATAACAAAAATTTCCTGATTTCTGAATGGTTCATCAAGTTTTAGCATAAAATTAAGCGAAATAAATGAGAAAATTTTGCTTTGTTAAAAAATTCAGTAAATTTTAAAGAAATAATCTGGATCTGGATCCGGATCCCGAATACATTTTTTTCAAGTGCGGATCCAGGATCCGGATCCGCATTAAAATTGATTGGATCCTAAGCACTGGCCACAAATTCTAATTTTCTAATCCCTTTTTCTTTTCAACCCAGTGGCAGTGGCGTAGACCTCAGATATTTCAAACTATGAATGCTGACAAGATTAAATATTCGAACTTTAAAATATCTAAGGTTTACACAATTTAGTCGCAAATATATAGAGATTAGAATATTTTAGTTTGAGGCATAAGTTCAATTCTTCTTACCAATTTCTCGTTATTCAACACTACATTACTGATATAAAAGTTTTTTTTTGTGTGTGTATTATTTTGCCCTTTGAATCCGAATATCAAGTTATTTTAGCGGATCCGGATCCAGGGAGTTAAAATATAATATGAAGGATCCGGATCCAGGGAGTTAAAATATAATATGAAGGATCCGGATCAAGGGACTTAAAATATTATATTGCGGATCTGGATCCAAGGAGTTAAAATATAATATTGCGGATCCAGATAGTTAAAATATTATATTGCGGATCCGGTTCCAGGGAGCTAAAAAATAATATTGCGGACCCGGATCAAGGGAGTTTAAATATTAATTGCGGAGCTGGATCCAGGGAGTTAAAATATAGTATTGCAGATCCGGATCGTTAAAATATTATATTGCGGATCCGGATTATCTGGTCACAAGCACTGGTAACAATCTAATTATATTTTTTTTGTTGATATTCCAATCAAAAAAAGAATTAAAGGGAAATGAATTTAGCTAACCCTTTATTGGACAAGTATCAACGAAAAACTTAATTAAATCATTATTAATTTCAAAAATTTTAGAATTTCACTATTTCTATAATATCATGCACTAGAAAGAAACGTGAATAGTTTGAAAATTTCCTTGGTTTAAATTTTGAAACCAAATCTTTTGTACTAATTGGAGCGCAATCTTGACTAAATTTTCATGCACCAACACCTCTTTTATAAAAAAATTATTATTCCCATCTTAATATTGAACCTTAGACAAGAAGTTGCGATTCTTTAATTATCCATTCGTCGTTTGGCATGCACAATACTAATCCAACCATTCCCCCCACCCCTCACCTAACACAAGATTTGGAAACATTTTCAGTGAAAATAATTTTTTCCCTAGAAGTTTTTATAGTATTTTCTCGATTGTACAGGGAAAAATAAATGATTTTTAGGTTAAAATGAATAACATTTCTAATCAAATAAATGAATATTAA